TAACACACGACTAGAACCAGCCAGCACGTGTGGGTCTCCTGACTGCAGATCAAGAGATCAAAGTGGAGGCAAGGGTTTGGGTATAGCAAACGGGACAAAAGTGGAGTATAAAGCAGACAGGGGCTGTTGCGGGGGATGCTAGCTAGGAAGGGCCAGGTGAATGGTCCCAAGCTTTTATAGGTGGTCTTTTGGGTGGGTGGTAACTGTGCCAACCTCTTGACCCACCTACCTGTTAGTCCATCCCAAAAACAATCCTATTGGTTGCATGTAGTGAGGGGTGGCTACCTAGAGGGTGGGACAATATTGTAACCTAAGACCTAACTCAAAGGATGGCATCTGGGCAAGTGTGAAAACTTGGCGTCAGGGTGCTCCCTTGAAGTGCAGATGAAGCTTGGTCATTCCTCTGGTCATAAAAGGTCCATCTGGCAGGAAACGCCAATGTAAGATAAAGCAGAGATGTGGCATACATGACTGTCAACAATTCAGCAATGGGGGCTGCTTCTTCTCAAGTTGTTGTCTTGTTGACAATAATGGAGATGTGTACTTCCTCACCAGGCTGGTAGCTGTGTAGCTGAAACCTCATTCACATGTAAGGCTTGTGCATGCACCTTCTATGTGTAGTATCACAACAGGTGATCTGTACTGCTTTCTGAGCCTATGTGTGTGTGCGTGCACAGTCCATTGTGTGTGTGGCAGCAAATATAGTTCATAAAGCAAAATATCAATCTCATTCCTTAACAAATGGCCCATCTAGTGCAACACTCTGTCACGCAGGGGCCAAAAATACCAGGTGACATCAGGAGGTACAGCAGTGGGGCCAGGACACTAGAAGCCCTCCCACTGTTGCGCCCCCCCCCCCAAGCACCAAGAATATAGGGTATCACTTGCCCCAGAGTTCCTATCTATACCTTGTGGCTAACAGCCACTGTTCCTGCTTCAGTCCTTCTGGGAGGCTGTTTCACAGCAGTTGGGCAGCAGTAGAAAAGGCCTGAGTCATAGAAGAGTGCATTCCTAGGAGTGAAGGGGCTACCATGAGACCCTGTAGTGAAGGGTGCAGTTGCTGAGTAGGTTCATACAGAGATATATTTCTTCCATTCTGTGGGCTCCTTGTCATGAAGAGTTTTAAGGTAAGCACCAGCACCCTAAGTTGGACCTGGAAAACCAGTAGATGAACCAGTGAAGAAACTCCAGGATCAATGTCATGTGGTCCTGAAGGTCAACCACCGATAACAAGCGGCTGCTGCGTTTCCCATAAGTGAACGTTTCTGAATCTTTTAAAGAATGGGTTAAAGATTGAACTGATATGAGCATCACATTTTCTTTAGGAAGGGGAGGAATCTTAGAGCTCTCCACAGCATTAGCATCTTGAAAAAGGTTTAGTACTGCCCCTTTTCCTGATACTCTAGTTTACTATGCGTAGGGAGATGGGGTTTTTTGTTCCTGATGAAGCATTAAAAATGACAGTTCCTATATGCTGGCCTGAAGTGGCACAGTGCAGAACATTGCTACCACATTACATTTTACATAGGTGGGGGGAGAAGGTGGTATGCCGTGTCTGTTCCCTTTCCTTTCCTTGCAGCTCTCCTGCTGCCCTATTTATCTTCTCTCTGCCCCCACCTCTAATGGAGCACCACAGAATCCACTGTTCCATCCCCATTGACTCCAGGACACGACATACCCTTTCTTTGTGTACAGGGCAGGTGGTTGTGTCAGAAGTGGCATGTTACACATGCCACTGTTGTGGCTGATGCCACTGTCACCTGCAAAGTTGGAGTAGCAGTAGTTAGTGGTTTTCAGGTGGCTTTCAGTCTCATGCAAGATTCCATTGCACAAGAACACTGCTTGTTACAAGC